GCCACTTCACTTCATCGACTCAACCACGATAAGATTTCTCAAGAATTGACGCCTTTTGGGGACTGATCAGGCTTCATTCTCACCGATAGGAATGGTCTAGAACCCGGAAAACCGAAATGGCCTATACGCGTAGTCCCCTGATTCTGACCCCTATACATACAATTCCGCTTAGGAGGACACCAAGCAGGGGGTTACAGAATCCTGATAAGACTGCCACCTAAAGCCCTAGAACCGCTAATTCCAATCCGTTAAGACCCTGAAAAAGAAGCTTTGCTGACGAATTAAACATACCAGATAATCCAATGACATTTGCCAATATAAGAGAAAATGTTAAGGCCAAGCCTTAACGATTTATATAAGGAAAAGACCATGGAGACCCTGACAAGGATTGTCCTAAGACCACCCCGACCGCCAACTTCCACTGATCACGGAATAAAGCGATTGGCTACTCTCACTAGGGAATTGCCTGAGGATATCCGAGCGAGAAGCGAGTAAACCCATTTCGTCACCACTTCTTGGAGAACAGACAACATTCCTCGCCAGTCACCGACGGCAATCGAACAATAATAGCAGCTATCATCCTCACCGCCGATGCTTTAGGGTCTGATCATAAGGCCAACTATAACGAAACAAGAAACGACAATTACGACGACCATGACCCAGACCTTAATAGACCTTAAAAGACCTTGTTAGACCCTAAAGACCTTAAAGACCTTATTAGACCTAAGGTGATGCCAAGACGATATACCAAAACACCAAGCAAAACCACTGTGATGCCCTACTACTTCGGTAGATAGAGCTTCACCATACAAATGAACAAGCTGCAGCCACCGCTGCACACCTCGACGACTAGTAGGGCCTAGACCTACTAGCGCGAGTAAAAATGATTTAAGGAATGTTTTATTGAGGACGACACCGACGCTAGCCCTCAATAGGCATCCTACCCGACAAAGAGATAAGAAGAATTCTACTAATCAGAGAAGAAAGAGTAGGATAGGAATCGATAACACCCCTAATCAATATTGAGAATACCAGAAAAGCTGAAGATTGAACCGATTCCCGACAACAAACGACAAAACATATATATATAATATATCATCACCAAAGAAAAGAAGATAGTCTGAATCTAACGACATATCTTCAAATTTACAAGCCCCATTCAACAAACCGAACAGGAATCAGTCTCGTTTGCCTAATCATCGAAGCTCTTCGTCGAT